TGCCAATCAGATGACGGACGAAATGTCTGCACCGACTCATCGGGCCCACAAGACGATTAGCCTAGGTTTTCTTCGCACAATTCGGCATTCGCAGTTACCAGGCGACCCTTTTTGGCTATCCGGTGGTTCCAATCTACGAATCTCCTCCTCCCGCACCGAGCAGATGAATTTGCTCAAAAAATCCCACTTCAATCCTACTCTGGACACTCGTCTCAAGTGCCGGGTGGGAAGATGTCCACTTGTATGGACCTCCTTAATCCCTCGCCTTGCCGATTGGATCTGCTCTCTTACGTATTCTCTGCGTATTTTCCCCTCATAATGCCATAGTTACCACCCAAAGATCGCGACAACAGCAACTTGGATTGTCACATCAGTTAAAGCCTAAGCCGTGCTCCGACAAGCAACTCGGGATTTTTCAACTTGTCAACGTCACTCGGTTCGTCAGTCACCGTGTCTATGGCACACTCGCGAATCTGTAGGCCAGACTTACACAAATACCAGGTCACCGGGCCTCGGGTAACCTTGACCTTTCGAATGGATACGAGGCCAGTGTCACGAGGGCGTCAGCGATCGGGACGTTCTGGTGATTCAAAAGTTCCGCAACCCCGAGACAACCGTGAAGAGGACTGGGCCTGTCTGCACCCGCACAAACGGACCGACGGACAAACGATGCTGGGCTGTCCGTATACACACAGCCAGACGCGTGAATGCACAGACGGCTGGTCAACCGGACAAACGAACAGACCGACAAACCGACACCCGAGGCGACGGTCGACTCGACGTGTAGACACAAAAGCGAAAAGACAAGCAAACACAAGGGCCATCGAGACGAACAAATGGGCGAGTGAAACTGGCACGGCCAATGTCTGGGCGCAGGGCTCCTGCTTTCTGGGAGTGGCAAATATTGGCGGAAATTGAGTCTGAAAAGAGGGAAGCCAACTACGCGAGCCAACTGGCAGGACTGGCCGAAATTGGTATGCACAAAAGTGCATGCGTGTGCCTCCATATCGGTTGGATAGAGGGTTACGGCTCGGGTTGGCGCTACGAGTGTAGGTAGAATGGGGCGGGGGTGGGCTCTTGGGGTTGGGAGCATGTGAGACCACTTAATGCAATTGAATATTGAATCCATTCGAGGCATCGGTGGTTGATTAATGGGGCTTGGCTGAAAGTTGGACAGGCCAAGTAAGTACACGTTCACAGACGTATCGATATCCCCAATCGACGAGCGGAATGACGCACGCATCAAGTCATACAGCCAAGCACAACAGAAAAGCACACCATCTAGACCATAGTAACCTACACGATAAGGCATAGAGAAAATCATAGAGCGGAATTTCCCTAGTGCCTCTTTTCGTATGAATACCTGCATAAAAAGCTCAAATTCGTATACATATAAATGTGACCATGTTGTGAGTGAGTGTGAATGTGTGTGTGTGTGTGTGTTTGAGCAGGGGGTAGAAAAAAGGATGGAATGGTCGGCCCACGACACCTAGGCGTATCTCGAGAACAGGCTTATGTCGAGAAACGAGTGTCGGTCTGTGAGCTGACAGACTGGCAGATCCGGGCCCTCTGCCTCGGCCGCGACTGCCTTAACGTGGACTCAAAATTGAAAACTAATCGAAACAGGTGTTAATGGGTTTCGAAGTTTGGTCGGTACCCTGGCTGGCTGGCTGGCTGGCTGGTTGGCTGGCTGGTTGGAGGAAAAAGAGGAGTGGAGAAGTTGAAGGCAAATGACTTCAAAGTACCTCAAAACGATTGCGTGAGAGAAGAGGAATGTGGTTGTTGGTGTGTGCACCCTCGGTGCGTATTGCTGAGGCTGGGGACTATTGACAGACCTGCGTTGGAAGCATGTAATGGAGAGAAGAAGCGAGGGTTAAATGGCACACCAAAAAGGGTAGAGCGGAGCGATAAAGGAGCGAGAAGAGATGCGGGAAGAACGCGGGGAGAGAAGAAAGTGGCGACAGGGAGAAGAGTTAGAATTACTGTCATAGATACAGAATAGTGGCATGGCTGAGTAGAACAGGCTAGAAGACGGGTTTAATGGTGGTCTGGAGATAACCGCAGCTAGTTTGGCATAGAAGTGAAGAGGATCCGGTGTTCAAACACGACAACAAAATCATGGAATCTTGTTGGACAACCGAAGTAACCTTCAAACGCGACTTTAAGATGGTGTACATGTGTTCTCCAACTCGACATTGGCACCAAACTCATCAAGCATACTCATGAAGAATAGAAAAGAATGTTAACGTTTATCTAGACTACTAATAGCATCCACACGTGTGTGGATGAATGAATAAATAAATGAATTAATTAATTAATCGATGGAAGGCTGGATTAATTGACAAATGAATGGATCTATAGATGAATGTACTTATTGCAGCGTGAATCCATAGATGAATAGAAGAGTGAATGGCTGTGTCAACGAATAGATGGAGAGGGAGGTGGAAAGGTTAACAAACGAATTTATAGACGGAGGCCTGCGTAGGTGAGTACTTAAATGTGTGAGTGAATGGACAGAATAGATGGATAGACGAGTGTTTAAATGGATGGGTGGATGAGTGAGTAAGCAAACAAATTAATGGATAAACGAGCGAGTTTATTTGTGGATGAATATATAGCTGGATGAAAGCTGGATGTAAAAAAGCTGAATGGATAAGCTAAGAAGATGATACACGAATGCATAAATTGAATAGATGGTGAATGGATAAATGTGTGTGTGGATGGTTGAATAACTTAGTTACAAATGATGTGAGGGAGAGAGTGGGAGAGATGAATGGATGAGTGAATAGAATGAGGAATAGTGACACAATTGAAGAGATGCTGAATGTATTCGCCCATTTTTTCATCTATCTATTCCACTATCCGTTTATTTTTCAGCTTATTAATCTACACATTTCTTTTTTTCATCCAGAATTCATCAACTTTCATCCA